GGGCCTGGGGTGGGGGTGGGGTGAGTTGCAGAGGTTCCTCCAAGAGAGGAATTTGGGTAGTCTGAGGAAGGGAAATCAGGGCTAACGAGTCTAGGCTCTTGCCTGGGAAGGGGCCCTGGGCTTTGAGGCACCTGCTGCAGGCCCTAGGGCAGGATCCTCAGATTGGGGGTCTCCCTAGGTCCTCCTGAGGCATCCCCCTGCCCTTCAACAGTGTCACCTCAAAATATCACCCCTTCAGAAGCTAACTTGATGCAACAGCACTTTGCTGGCTAGGGTCATCTTTCTGAGGTCTGGCAGGCATTGAAGATAGTGAAATCAGAACTTGCTTCCTGTTGTCCAACCATGCAGCAGAAGATGGGTCAGGGCTGTGGCTGAGGGGCTGGGCCCCTGGCCTGGGCAGCCACGCCCATCGTACATCTGAGGGGCTGGCATCAGGCCCAGAGGGGCTGGCATCAGGCCCAGATGGCATGCAGGCGGGTGAGTGGGCAGGTGAGCAGTGGCTGGCGGCTGGGCCAGCGGGTCCCCAAGGGAGGGTCCTTCTCTGGCTTGTTTGAGAAACTTCCCTTGCCCACAGCTAGTAATTGCACCTGTGTCTTCATGGCAGCCTCACACCCGTGTGGCCAGGGGGTGGTGGTGTCTGTGCTGGGAGTCCCCACCCTTGCTCACGTGGGCATGCTCTCATCTGTGACGCCTCTCCTGCGGTTTCCCCACTCAGAGGAGGTGCCATTTATTTGCTGGAAGGGCTGAGGCAGCCTCTCAGTTCTGAATGCCGATCGTTTGCGCTTCCTTTGGGCTTGGGTGTCGGGTTTGTACTGCGAGCATAAACGTGTGGGGTTGTTCGTGTCCCGCTCCCCAGCCACTCAAAGTGGCAGCGTCACGAGTCAAGACACCTGAACCCTCGAATCCTTTCGGGCTCTTCCTCTTGGTGGTGTTGGGGGTGTTCATGCAGGAGACCCCCGGTGGGGCCCACTTGGTCCTGATGGAGACCCAAAGTCTTCAGTGCCCCTGTTTCCTCGACGTGGTCCATCTGTCCTCGAGCCCCACTGCTCACACCCTTGCCGTGCCCTGAGGGCTCTCCTGGATGGGCCTATGTGCTGGAACCGAGCAGGGTGCCCACCCGCCCTCCATCCCCTCCTGCAGGCACCTGAAGGAGATCTCGGAGCTGCAGAGCCAGCAGAAGCAGGAGATCGAGGCCCTGTACCGCCGCCTGGGCAAGCCGCTGCCCCCCAACCTGGGCCTCTTCCACACGGCCCCTCCCGCCGGCCGGAGGAGGAAGAGCAGGAGCAAGCTGAAGGCAGGGAAGCTGCTCAACCCGCTGGTGCAGCAGCTCAAGGTCGTGGCCTCCAGCACAGGTCTGTGCCCTCCCGGCTCTGGCAGGCTGGGGCCGGGACCCGAGTGGGGCAGGCAGGAGGCAGGCGCCCGCACCCAGAAGAGCACTTCTTCGACCTCCTTTCACTGGAGCGGGAAGCCTTTGTAGGTGTGAAGGGCCGGGGTGTCGCCGGGCCCACCCTGAGTGCGCAGGCCTGCTCTGGGGCCATCAGCCGCCTGGGGACTCGTGTACGAGGCAGGAGGCGGTTCAGGGTCTCTCCCCCTCAGCCCACCTCCCTGCAGGGTGCCACCTGGCTCGGGGTGTTTCCTCTGGCCATTTCTCAGGCACCGGTCACCTGCTGAAAGTGAGGGTGGAGCAGCTGCCTTTTGGTGGGGGGGGGGGGGGGGGGGGGGATGGGGAGGACACCCGGGCACCGAGGGTGTGCTGGAAACCCAGTGAGTTGGGATCCCCGGTGTGTGCCAGGTGGGAAGCCAGCCGAGAGCGGAGTGTGAGCCCACCCTCTCGGTATCACGGATAACCCACGGGGTGCGTGTCCGTGAACTGCAAGAAGAGTTACACAAATTACACGAATTCCAGGATGATTCCTAAAGCCAAGTGGAAACTAGTCAGAGTGAGCAGGTCGTACAGGCCTCTTGAGCCCTGGTGTGCCTCTCCTGATGTGCCGTGATCCTTGCACGGCGATGGCGACTGGTGGAGGCTGTGGTCATTTTCTCTGATCTTCCTGACGCCCGCGCTCTGGTGACCGGGCCACGTGCCCAGTGCCTGCAGGGACTCCACTTCCCCAAGGTCACCCAGCAACGAGCAGGGAGGACAGATGCACCCCGCGCTGGCTGGTCTGACCCGCAGCGCCTCACTGTGCCTGTCACCCCTTATTCCCCTCAGGTCACTTGTCAGACTGCAGCAGAGCCCCTCCTGCTAAGGACCCTGCCCAAGCCGGGGCAGGGCCCGAAGCAGCTTCAGACCCGTGTGGGAAGGCAGTTCAGACCCAGCAGCCTTGCTCGGTGCGGGCCTCCCTGTCTGCAGACATCTGCTCCGGCTTAGCCACTGACGGAGGCGGAGCGCATGGCTCAGGTGATTCCCAGCTTGCCCGTCTCTGAGCATGCGCTAGCTGCGTAGGGCCCCTGTGGTGTCAGAGGGGCATGAGCGGCGGCAAGGGCCGCCCACAGCCTCTCGAGGATAAAAACCAGTAGAGGTAGCCTTTGAGTAAAGACAGTGGGTAGCCCACCCATCATCGAGTCTCGCTGTGTAAGGCTCAGAGGGAGGCGTGCTCTGCTAGAGCCGGCCCGGGGAAGGCGCCAGGACCCCCTGGTCACGTGTGGGGTGCGTGCTCTGCGCCGGTTCCCAGGCCCCCGCCTGCCCTGCCCCGCCCCGCTGCCCACTACACACGGGTCCTTCCGTCAGGAGGGACGGCTAGGGGGATGAGGGCACGGCCCCTCGAGCTGGGAGTCCGCCTTGAGGAGGAAATGCTCGTCACCTCGGCCGTGGGCGCAGTAGCCGCGTGAGGAGGGGCTCCGTCCCCGCCATCTCTGTCCAGAGAAGTCGCAGTGACGGCTGCTGGCGCCCACCCCCGCCCGCCCGCCCCGCACGCTCTCCCAGGGTCCGCTTCTCTTGTGCTCCAGCGGTGCCTCCTCTCCATTACGTGGTCGGCGGCTGTGGTCCTCCGGGCTGGGCTAGGTGGAGCCGTGGATGCTAAGTGACGAGGCTGATGTGGCTGGTGGTGTGTAGCAGGAATCCCAGAGACTGTACTTGATGCCTGTCTCTTTGTTTTCTTCCCTCTATATTCATTTGCAGGCTGGACGGTTTACCACCCAACGTCTGAGAGACTGACCTATAAGTCTAGTAGCAAACCTCGCGCTCGATTCCTCAGTGGACCCGTGTCTGTGTCCATCTGTCTGTATTTGTTCTTTGTATTTTATCACCTCCTGGCCCTTGGTTTCTCCCCGCCCCTCCCTGTCTTCATTGCCTTCCATACATTCTGTAGGCTGCCTCCCCCTCCCCACTGAAGTCACCTACTTAATATCAAACACAGACCCCCGCCCGCACCCACCCTCTCGGCCCCAGAAAGCGCCAGTGCATGCCCTCGGCTCATGGCCGGCACTAAAAGCATGTGCGGCGGCTTGCCCACTCCTGGCCTCGGGCACCTGGCCCCCCGGACCCCCAAAGCGCTCTGCATTTTTCTCCTCACTGGTTTGTTTAACTTATTTTTTATGTTGGACGTAGTTTTATTTCTGTTGCGATTGTGGTGCACATATACGTCCGCTGTCCCCAGTTCCAGTGACAACAAAAAGACAACCCTGGCCTTCTCTAGACGCATGGTGTGTTTCACACGTGTCTGGATTCTGAAGACATGCATGTAGTGAGCGGAGACAGTTCTAGAAGGTCACTGGAGGGTGTAACTTTTGTGCGAGGGCCACAGCACAGCACTCTTTGCTGTTGCCCCACCCCCATGCCCTGCATGTGCAAAGGCTGAGAGAAAGGTGCTCCAGCTAGGTCGGCCCACCCCTCCCTCCACTCCGCTCACCTTGGGAACCCATCAGCGTCCCCAGAAAGCCCCAGCCTCCGCTGTGGCTGTCTCTCTGGCCTGGCCCCTCCTGGTCTCTAGCTGGAGCACTTTACTTGGTGTGCCCTCTCCTCCCACGGCCCTCAGACACGAAGTCAGCTACCCAGCTCCTCAGGGCTGTGCTCACCCAAACCTCCGTCCCGGTCACCCTCTGGCTCCTGGGATGCCCTGCTGGCACCCAGGATTCCTGTCCGGGAAGGGAGTATCTGCTCAGGGCCGTCCAGAATTACTTCATCCCTTGGAACAACTGGAAAATGAATCCAAAGCTGTGGGGTTTTCAGGTTTTTGTTTCTGAACACAAAAATTAAGCTTTCTATCAAATGGAAATGGTGGAAATGCCGGTTTGGGGCACGTGGCTTTTTGCTGGTACAATAAAGATACATTGTGTTTGTCAGGACCTGAGGCCACGTCCACAGTGGGCATTTGTCCCCATCAGAGGGGCCATGTCACCCTCCCCCAGGCAGGACAGGGTAGAGGCACAGAACCTCCTAGAGATTCCCAGGGACTGTTTAGTAACAGGTGCCCCACCCGAGCTGCTGGTTGGTTTTGAGCTGGTGGTGGGCAGGGGTGGGCAAGGTCTGAGTGCATCCTGCTCCCTGTATCACTTGCTGGCTCTTTTCTGTCCCAGTGTGCGTGGCTGTCTCCTGAGACCATGGCATCAGGGCACATGGGTCCCCAGGCATCTCCCGGTCACATGACTGACCGCGGCCTGCTGGGAACATGTGGGTCGGACACAGGAAGCAGGTTAGAGCAGGTGGTGCTTTCCCTGGGGTCCCCTGGTGTGAGTGATCAAGTGCCACATGCTCCTTCAAGGTTTGTGCCCACATGGTCCTGCATTCATTTTTAAGAGTTTTCATTTGTTTTACTGTTATTATTCCAAGATAAAAAAAAAAAATGGGGAGGCACAGCAAGGACAAATGGTCTAGCTTTAGTTTCCGTCTCTGTGGCTAAGAGGAAAGGGACATGTGAGGCATGGCTTGGTGGCACACGGGGCTCCTGGCCTGGGTGGACCTGATTTTAGGTGGTTGGGCCCAGTGGCCTTGCTGTTTTCACAACAGCCCTCTGCAGGCACGCCTTGGCTGAGCTCTTTGCTGTCCTGGCCACGGTGTGGCCCCCACAGGCCCTGGCCCTGGGGGCATGTGAAGGTGTGTCCTTCCACGCCCAGTGCCCTGGTGTCCGCCCAGCCTGCCAGCCTACTCCTGGAGCTGGAGCTGGCTGGTTCCTGGGTTACTAGGGAGCTGGGAGGCCTGAGGAGACCACAGGCACCTGTGAAAGTCTGGAGGAAAAAGTCTGGTCGCGGCCCTGAGGGCTGAGAGGTGGCAGAGAGGAGGTCTGAGGCGAGGGCTGTGGGAAGACCCTGAGGGTGGGGCCCGCTCTGGGGGCCTGGTCCTGGAGTCCAGGTCGGCAGCAGGGGGAGGGCTGCAGCTGTGGGCTCATCTGGCCTGACCTGCAGGAAGAGATGAAGGCTAGAGGTTTTCTGTTTGCCGCCTTGCACCGAATAGGAGACCAGGCTCTAGGAAAACAAAATCTTGGTTAAGTTCTGAAGTACACAAAGAAGGTCCCCGATTGTGTGACACTCAGAGACCACGAGAGCATCCAGGCTGGGTCAGAGATGAGCAGGGGTGGAGGCGCAGGCAGCTGCAGGTGACTAGGAGGGGACCCCTCATGGGACAGGCATTCAGCCCCAGGACGGAGAGCACGCAGAGAGCGAATCCTGGGCGCTGCCTCGGGTGGGCACGTGGACAGGCCCGCCGTTGGGAGGGAAGGGCCCACGGTAGCACAGACGGGGTGAAGCCCTGGGCAGACCCCTCCTTGTGGCCAATGGAAGGTTTGGGGAAACTCAGGGAGCACGTTTTGGGATTCAGAGGCTGTGGTCGGGTCGCAGCAGTGTCTGGGGTCAGAAGCTGCTGTCAGACCTGTTGGCCCTCCTTCTCTCTGGCTCCAGTCCACGTGGCTGGATTAGGTGCCGATGCTTCTGGAGCCTCTCTGCACACAGACCTTTGGGGTCTGCTTTGTTATGTTCTCACGTGTCCCATCAGCCTGTCATCCGTGCCACAGCAAGTCTGTCTCCGGGACACCCGAGGAGGCTGCCACTGCGTGGCTGCCAAGGCCCTGTCCTCACCCTTCCTGGGGGGACCTGCTGCAGGGGTGTGGGAGAGGGCCTTCGGGCAGGGGAGGGCAGCCGAGAAGGAGGCCACCCCCCATGGAGGCCTCCCCAGGCTGGACTGTCCCTGGGGCCGTCACCCCAGGGCAGGGCAGAGCTGGGATGCGTCCCATTTCATGCTTCAAGGACAAGTTTTGGCACTTTGCTCAGCGGTGCGAGGACTTGGTGGCTCATTCCAAAGGAGCCCTGAGTGGCATTTTGGTGCTGGTTGCTCATTTTGTTTCCGGTGCCAGATCCAAATGTCTAACGCCACTGGTCTGGGGGAAGGACCCGTGGGTGGGAGGCATGCCTCTCGTCATGTGGCAGGCAGGGGCTGCTGTCCCCGAAGCTCCCTGTGAGCCTCATCGGTTGTCTGAATGCTGTGGTAAAAAGCAAGTGTGGTGATGGCCACTGGGCTGGCCCACTTCTTAAGAGATCTGTCCGTGGCAGATACCTTTGAGGCATCCGCCTGGAAGCCCAGTGAGGGTGTGGATGCTGGCAGGGCTGGTTGTCCTTGCCTGGGGAGGGATTTGGCAGGGG